TGTGAGGCCACATTCTCCTTCAGCCGCCGCCCTTTGGTCTAGGCCAGTATCCTTTCTCTAGGGTGCTCCCCCTGTCACCCATGACTCCAGCCTCCCTCATCAAATTCCTCCTGCCAACGTGGTAACCAGCCACCACCCGGGGTTCGGTGTCATGCCCACCGTGCCACTCGACCCAGTGGACCCTGATCCCGGGGACTCTTCACCTTCCACATCCAAGGAAGAGCTCCCTGCACCCCTGGACGTATGTTTTGCAGAGGATGAACACCGACTGCCAGAAGGGTTCACACCTGGAGCCGCTCCTGCAGAGCCGAGCACAAGCTCCACACACCCCAATTCCCCTCCACCTGTAGCTCGTTTATGAGACCAAAGGAGACGGGATTTGACAATCCAGTGCAGGGAAGCACGCATGCGTGGGAGGCGTCCTCTGAGTCCAGAGCATTAACTGGAGCCAGGACTCTGTAATCAGCGGGGAATTAGGAACACAGGGAACGGGCTTTTAAGGAAGCCCTCCTCACTATCTACCTCGTGCTGGCAACTGATCACATGATTGAATCGCAGCACGGGCCTTGCATCTTGTTTCCTGACTTTCTTCTTGACTCCCTCGGCTTTTTGCGTTCTTCTGGCTCCCTGACCTTGGAATGTGTAACCTGACTCTGAACAAAGTTTCGGCTTTACAACTCGGACTGCCAATCTCTGGTAAACCTTAGGCTGTGCAAGTGACCTGATATTTTGGATTACGCTTTTGTTTCTCTGCCTATCTGGTGCTCTGACCTCAGCCTGTGTTTTTGGATACTCTGTGCCTTGCCTAGCCTAGCCCGCCCTGCCAGGGCAATCATGACGTTCGGCATGCAGTTTCTTGCTGGTCTGGGGCTGCTGGGACGAAAATTCCATGCTACTCCACATTCACACTTCCTTGTGGTCTCTTCACTGGCCCACTGCTTTCCTCCAGCACACTGGCAACGTGAACCACGATCCTCCTCCCACTCCTTGTGGTGCATTTCCTGGCAGGGGAACCCAAGACCAGATCCGTCATGTGCGAAAACCATCTTCCTCCTCTTGGCAAGCAGTGAAGGACACTCCACCAGGGAACCCGAAGCCATATGTTTGTCTGATGTGTCTCGTGACCTCAACTCCTTCGTGCAGCCCTACACCCCAGGAATCCCCCAACCAATCTTAAAAAAAAAACATGACGTGAGCCATGCCCCCCCTCATGGGGCGTTCCCCGCACCAGGCAACCTAAGAGGAGATACCTGTCATAAGCCACCCTGGCCTGCAATGCCTCACCATGCTCTCCAACCCAGGGAACCCCCTCCCCCCCCCCAAATAAAAATAAGAACAATTAACAGACTTGAGCGATGCCCTCCCCCTCCTGTAATGTTCCACCAACCAGGGTCGGCAGCCACCCGGCCTTCAGAGTCTTGCTGCGTTTTCCAGCCCAGGGAGCCCCCTCCCCCAAAGAATTAAAAATAAAAACAACGGATGTGTGAGCGATGCCAGGCAACCTAGGAAGAGACATCTGTCGTGAGTGACCCTGGTCCTCGACAGGGCGCCCCCTCCCAATTAAAAAAATTAATGGACATGAGCGATGGCCTCCCCCTCCTGGGACGTTCCCTGCGACGGCCCCCCTGCCCGGTAGAAGAAGAAGAAGAAGATTGGATCCATACCCAAAGGTGTCTCAGAGCGGCTTATAAACTCCCTTTCCCTTCCCCTCCCCTCAACAGACACCCTGTGTGGTGGGTGTCTTCACCAAATCAAACAGTAGCCACGTTGCCTTCGAGGTGGAGGATGGGGCCCGGGGAGAGAGCACCACCTGCCTCTCTGTGGGTGTTCCCCATGCCCCGGGCTGTGTGTGTGGGGGGGTCACCACTGCCCTGTCACGTTGCTGGTGGATGGAAGGGGGCACCGGGGAGAGAACACCACCCACCCCCTACAAGCGATGCCAGGCAACCTAGGAAGAGACATCTGTCGTAAGTGACCCTGGTCCTTGACAGTCTCTTGGCCTTCTCCAGCCCAGGGAACCCTCCTCCCCAAAAATAAAAAAATAAAAAATAACGGACACAAGCAATGCCCTCCCCCTCCTGGGACATTCCCTGCAACAGCCCCCCTGCCCTGTAGTCAGGGTGGAGGGTGGGGCCCGGGGAGAGAGCGCCCTCGCCCCCCCCCCATCTGGGTGTTCCCCTGCCCAGAGTCACATTGCCGGTGGGTGGACTGTGGGCCCGGGGAGAGAGCGCCACCCGCCCCCTGCAAGTGATGCCCCCCCCCCGGGACTTTCCCCGTGGTGGTCACCCTGTATCGTTTAAGGGTGAATGGGCCCATGGATGGAGTGCCACCTGTCTCTGTGTGGGTGTTCCCTGGACCCTGGGCAAGGCGGAGGGGTTGTGTCACCCCTGCCCAGAGTCCCTCCGGCGGGGGGGGGGGTAACTTGTAGGTGAACTGATTCCCTTTGGTCTAGGCCTCTAGGTCCAAGGGGCTGCAAGTCTGCCCAACAAAAACGTCCCTACCATTTATAGGTGCGGTCATCTTTTTCGGTGGGTCATCCTCTAAGCTAAGTTAGTGTGAGCTAGCTCACAGTTTTTTAGCCTCCGGCTCACACATTTTTGTCTTAGCTGAGGAAGGATGGCTTCAGAGCAAAGCAAACTAATTTATTCAGTAGCCAAATCACTTGCTCACAACGTAGAAATTTTTTTTGCTCACAAGACTTCACAGCTTAGAAGGGAGCATTGGTCACGTCCCTTCATTCTGCCACTGGGAAACTTGAAAATAGTCCACACTGAGATCCTCCCGATGTCAGCGAATGCTGCCGTGGTCTGGAAGGTGTGGGGTGCCCGGCTCCCTCTCCTCCTCTGCACCCTAACCCTCCCCCCGCTTCTCATCCGCTGCACACCCTGTTACCTGCTGGGTGTCCTTGAAGGCTCCGTGTCCAATGCAACGGCTGCACTCTGTGCCCCAGGTGCTGCTTGCCTAGTTTGGTGAGAGTGGAGAGCCAGTGTTGGTGAGAGTTTGGTAGTTTGGTGAGAGTGGAGAGCCAGTTTGGTGTAGTGGTTAAGTGCGCAGAGGACTCTAATCTGGAAGAAACGGGTTTGATTCCCCACTCCTCCACTTGCACCTGACTGGATGGCCTTGGGCAAGCCGTAGCTCTGATAAGGGCTGTCCTTGAAAAAGAGCCGTTTCTGTCAAGAGCTCTCCCAGCCCCACCGACCTCACAGGGTGTCTGTCTGTGGTGGGGAGGGGAAGGGAAAGGAGTTTGTCAGCCGCTCTGAGACACCTTTGGGTAGGGAAGGGCCATGGGGTATAAATCCAACCTCCTCTTCTTCTTTTTCTTCTATCCCAGCCACTGGAGGATCTGCACCCCGTCTTTGGGATACCCTAACTGACCTTCCCCCTCATCCTCCGGTTTCCTTTGCCTCTTATGCTGGCGATGCACATCTCTCACCTGTCTCGTAGTAGTCAACCCCGCATGGCCTCCCCGCGAGTCCTTTTCCCACAGGAACATGTCCCTCCCCCTGACTCCAAACTTACAGCACTCCCCTCAACGTCCCCAACCCCACACCATCAGGCCCTTCCTAGTAATCACATTGCCACCAGTGATTGGAGGGTGGGCCTGGGAAGAGCCCCGCACCCGGGGGGTGGGGGGGACTCGGCCCTGCCCGGTAGTCACTTTTCTGGTGGCTGGAGGGTGGGGCCCGGGGACAGGGGTCATTTCCTAGAAAAAGAGGTGCAGGAGCTCATTAGCATAACTTATTTGCATATGCCACACCCCCTGACATCACCAGAAGTGTGTCAGAAGGCAACACCCACCACTCAGGCTCCACTGGACTGTTTTGGATTCCTAGCTATCGGGGGGGGGGGGGGGAGAAACGTGCAGATCTGTCCTCACAGAGGAAGGAGAGCTTGTACCTGAATAAAACTTGGTCTTAAATGTGCCACTGGACTGTTTAGGACTGGGGGGTGGGGGGCTCTGCAGCTTACCTGGCTGCTTCTTGCTCTGACTGAGGGCTGCTGGGAGCAAGGGGTGGGGCTTGTTGCATGTGCCCGCCCTCTGGGCTCTTTACTGCCGGAGCTCCGCTCCTGTGTGCCCGTGCAGGAAATGACCCCGGCCCGGGGAGAGAGCGCCACCCGCCCCCGTGTGCGTGTTCCATGGGTCCCGAGCAGGGCGGGGGATTCGGCCCTACCCAGTGATCACTTTGCTGTTTAAGGGTGGGGCCTGGGGACAGTGAGCCACCCCACTCGTCCCTGTGCGGGTGTTCCCCTGGGGAGGGCGGTGGGTGGCCCTGCCCAGTAACCACGTTGCCTGTGGGTGGAGGGTGGGCCCAGGGAGACAGTGGCACCCGTCCCTGTGTGGGTGTTCCCCGGGCAGAGTGGGAGGTTCTGCCCTGGTCGGTGATCCCATTGCTGTTTTAGGGTAAATAGGCCCGTGGGAAGAGCACCCGCCATCCCTGCCACCTTCCCGGACAGGAGAGTGACCTGGGATTATGCTGAGAATTTGGGCCCCTGGGACCCCCGGGGTTTTTCTCGTCATCTGGACCGGTTCGTGAACCGGCCACACTTCTTTTCGAGAACCAGTCAGGGAATGGGGTCAGTTCAGTTTGGTCCGGGGCAAAATTTTGAAAGTGCCCACCCCCAGTGATTAGTCACACTATTTTACTATGACGACAGTATTATAGAGTGATGGCGTCTTGCCGTTTTCTGATTGATTGTTCCCCAGTCGTGTCACTATGAAGAAACAACCGTACTGTAACAGCCAGGCAGGTGAAGCCAATATCTTCTCCCTGCTTACTTCATGATTTAAGATTTTTTAATTTAATATTTGGCTGTACCTCTTATGTCATCTGTAGTGAGGAACCGTACTCACAAAGAGGGACACACATCTAAAAAATAAGGAGTGAATCGCATTGCCTGTCTTTACCCTGTGCCTCGCAAGCCAGAAATGGAATTAGTTCTTAGGGAAGAGTCAGTGGTCTACGAAGTTCTGGCTAATTAACTCCGTCTTCCCTTTTCAGCTCTTGATAAGTGGTTCAGAACAATTCAACCAAAAGCCTAAAAAGGGGATACAGTTTCTGCAGGAGAAAAAACTTCTGGCCACCCCCATGGATAATGATGAAGTGGCCAAGTGGCTGCGGGAGAATCCTAGACTGGACAAGAAAATGATTGGGGAGTTTGTGAGTGACCGGAAGAATGCAGACTTGCTGGACAGTTTTGTGGGGTAAGTAGGCATTGGCCAACTTTTACCTTTGGTTTGGTCCTGCAGAGGATGACGGTTCAGAGAGTCCTGCATAGGAAAGTGAATGAATGGACTTTCTGTAGACACACTTTTACCCTTGCTTTCCTCTCTAAGGGCCTTGTTGGAGGAGTCTGTGTGCTCCCCCCCACCCCCCGTTTCCCCTGATAACCACCCTGTGCTGCGAGAGAGAGAGACACATGGGGGGGGGTCGGTCTGAGAAAGGGGGGTGGGGGTGGGTGGCAGAAAGGCCTCCAGTGGGCTTCATGGCCAGCAGGTGGCTTGAACGTGGCCTTTCCAGGTTCTCATCTTGCACTCTGACCACTGCACCTGACTGGATCCATTGACCTTTGAAGTAGATGTATTTCTGTCCATTTTGGTTGGGGTTCCCAGTTTACTATGTACAGAGAAGCATCTGTCCTCTTCTCTGATGAGGCAGAGATCCTAGGACAAAGCTTACTGGTGAAGAAGTCCTCCAAGGAGTGTTTCCTGAACAGTATGATGTGATCTGACTGCAGACAACATAAAGTTGTTATAAGTGATATAAGAATCTGTGTTCTTTAATAAAAACATGGGTGTATACACACACACACACACACATGGACACCATGCATCCGCACTCTTGTTCCGGTCACTCTCTCATGTCCCTCTCTCGTGTTCCAGAGCTGTCTGCCTCAGAGCCTGAGTACTGGAAGGCTGCTCTACTCCCAGTAGGTCTAACAGAGGCAGCCCGTTTGCAAGGGAGCTCACATTTTAGTCAACGGCTATATAGGCGGGTTCTTAGATCAAAGGTTAAAAGGTACAGGTTTCAACAAGGAAAGGATACAGCTGAGTGTTAAACAGGGGTGAAGAAGAAGAGATTGGATTTATACCCCATGGCCCTTCACTACCCAAAGGTGTCTCAGAGGGGCTTACAAACTCCTTTCCCTTCCCCTCCCCACAACAGACAGACACCCTGTGAGGTGGGTGGGGCTGAGAGAGCTCTTGACAGGAACTGCTCTTGAGAGAACAGCTCTGAGAGAACTGGATGCCCAACGTCATCCAGAAGCTGCAAGTGGAGGAGTGGGGGATCAAACTCCCAGATTAGAGTCTGCTGACTGTCTGCTAGGCCTAAATCCTGGTTGCCATGGGAGTGGGTTGACTTTGGAATGTTTGGTTTCATTTCTGCTGCGTCTTCTGTGTTTCTAGTATCACTGTATGTCCTTCAATGCCTGGTGTAGTCTTTCTCCAGGGAAAAGTAGCCCTTAACTTTGGCGGGCTTCTACCTGATCCCTGATTGGCCCTGGGCCATCAGGAGGCCTCCTTGAACAATGTATATTTGCTTGCTGCGTGCGCTTTTCTTTAGTTCTAACACGAAATGGTTAAGATATCTGCATACTCTCAATGTCTCAATAAACTTTACTTCTTTGAACGAAAGCTGTTGGGAACTGATTGCTGCAGGAGTATGACACTGACTTAACCACTACACCAAACTGAGACACTTGGCATTGCAAAGCAGTGTTGTGCTCTTTCCTCTTGGTCCCACAGGCCATTTATCTTCACCTATCAATTTGGTACTTAAAGCAGGAGGCCCATCAACTGCTTTCCGTACTTTTGAAAGAGGGGAAGTATAGAAGTTTGAACAAACCCAACTTCTGCTTATGAAGTCACTGTCTGGAAATAACCTCTTACATCTTTTGTCTCTCAAAAACGTTGGTGTATGAGCCTGTCTGCCACTCACTGTCTTCTAGCTGTTGTCTTTGTATTGCTACCTTTATTTCAGGACTTTCAGCTTCCAAGGCTTGCGACTGGACGAAGCCTTAAGACTCTACCTAGAGGCCTTCCGGTTGCCAGGAGAAGCTCCTGTAATTCAGAGACTTTTGGAAGCCTTTACAGAACATTGGCGAGTAAGTTCTGAAATCTGTGAGAATCTCTTTAATTTCTTGTTTGTCCACCATTAGGGTAATGTGAAGCAACTCTTTGCTAGGTTTGTCTTTCTTCAGAAGTAGTTGGGCAATAATGAAGAAAAAAATCAGGTGATTGAATCAGGACATTTCAAGTTGACCAATGGCAATAAATAAATGTTTCATTTTGAGATATTTATAATGGTTCTGACTTGCACTGCTTTTTACTTTTCAGAAATCAAATGGGTCCCCATTTGCTAACAGTGATGCTTGTTTTGCCTTGGCATATGCAGTTATAATGCTGAACACTGACCAGCACAACCATAATGTTCGGAAACAGAATGTACCCATGACTCTAGAGGTGAGATTTTTAACAGTGTTCACTTCCCTTTGTGTCTAGACATTTCTGTTGGCTGTGATGACTAAGGGGAAACCTATACATCCGGAGGCAATGAACCTCTGAATGCCGGTGCCAGGAGCCAACACCAGGCAGGGAAAGGCCTCGGCCTCTGGACTGTATGGACCACTGGCCTGATCCAGCAGCACTCTTCTTGTGTTCCTATGTTCTTTAAGCTCTTCCGTCCCTCCACCCTTACTGTTTTCTGCACCTTCGGCTTGGTTTGCGGTATCCTAAAACATAATATTAACCACCACCACCCAAGTTCCAGTACAGTTTGGATATTATTAGTGATCAAGCACATCAACACATGGCAATATGATAGGAAGGATGTTGACAAGCTCGAGCATGTACAAACCATGGCAACTAGGATGGTGAGAGGGTTATGAGGAAAGTCTTATGAGGAAAGGCTGAAAGAGTTGGGTATGTTTAGCCTGTGAAAGAAAAGGTTTAGAGGGGACATGATTGCAGTCTTCAAATATTTGAAGGGCTGTCATGTAGAAGATGGAGCAAATCTATTCTCTCTTGCTCCGGATTGCAAGACTAGCTCTAATGGGTGGGAATTACAAGGGAGTCGTTACTGGCTAAATATCAGGAGAAACGTCCTAATGGTAAGAGTGGTTGAGCAGTGGAACAGACTGCCTCGGGAGGTGGTGGATGCTCCTTGGCTGGACGTTTTCCAAGCAGAGGCTGGATGACCATCTTTCGGGTGTGTTGTAGGGCTATCTTTCGGCTATGCTCCTGCAGATTGCAGGGGGTTGAACTAGATGACCTGCAAGGTTCCTTCCAACTGTAACATTCTATGATTCTATAAAAGTCTGATTTGAGAAGGCCATGAAGAATGCGACTCAAAGAAACATCACAGTTTAGGATTTGGTGTTTGTTTGCCTTGATCAAATTCATGGAGTCACTGAGTGAGTATATGTGATACAGAGCCCACCAACCCTCTCAGCATCGGAAACACCATTTGTAGAACACCCACTTTCCTGCCAGTTAGATGTCATCTGAAATTGTTGTGGTCTTAGTAGAGTCTTTATGGTGGCTTCTTTAATTGCTCTTTACAGGAATTCCGAAAGAACCTGAAGGGGGTAAATGGAGGCAAAGACTTTGAGCAGGACATGCTGGAGGACATGTACCATGCCGTCAAGTAAGTGTTGGTGTTTGCCTGCTGCTGGAGGGGATGACATTAAGGAGGGGGGGGGCCTCCGTAACAATGGAGGCCCAGGTAGCAGCCACTGCCAAGTTGGCCTTTTACCATCTTTGACTGATTAGGCAGCTGGTTCCCTTCCTCGAACGCAGTGACCTGGCAACAGTGATCCATGTGATTGGATTGGATTACTGTAATGCTCTCCACATGGGGCTGCCCTTGTCCCAAATCCGGAAGCTGCAGCTGGTGCAGAACGACGCAGCCAGGTTGTTGATGGGAATCCCAATTCGGGAGCACATCCGACCTGTGCTGCAGGCATTGCACTGGCTGCCCATAGCATACTGGGTTCGCTTCAAGGTGTTGGTTGCTACCTTCAAAGCCCTTTCTGGTCAGGGACCTGCATACCTGAGGGACCACCTTTCCCCACATATGTGTCCGATTCCCCATGCATTCGAAATAAATCCATGTTTGAAGAACAAAGTTAAATTTATTATAAAGCGATGGTTAGATCAGGAACACAAGAATTGTTAGGAATGACTACAGACCCCAAAGGGAAACATAATAAAGGAACTTGAACCAGGTTAGGACCAATGAGTCCAATTCCCGCTGGCGGGAAGGCAGATAAAACTAGCGCCCAATTCCTTGGGAACACAACGGTTCTACAACATAAACACCAGCTCAGTTCTCAGGCATGAGATACATAATAAGCAAAGCAACGCCATAACTCCATCCCACCTCCAGCTGGTTGACCTTGAGCAGTTCCGCAGATGTAGCAAGCAAAAGAAAGTAAACACCTACACAGGAGGATACTGGGGGGGTATGGACAGAGTACAATGTAACATGTAGAAAAGAACACACCACCCTATGGCAGCTTGCTGACATAATGGCCCAGAAGACGCTGAGATCCGGGACCCAGAATCGACTGGCTCTCCCGAGCTTTAAGGAGGCCAGATTGACTGCAACTAGGGCCAGGGCTTTTTCGGTGGCGGCTCCTCTCTGGTGGAACGAGCTCCCAGAAGAGACCAGGGCCCTACGAGACCTCTCACAGTTCCGCAGGGCCTGTAAAACAGAGCTCTTCTGCCAGGCCTTTGGAGCTGCCACCATGTAATACTCCACTGCCAACAATTAATAGCTATGTTGGCTGAACCCTGACCCACCGTTCCGTTAAATATTGCCCGTGCCAGTCACCTAAGATAACCGAAGAAGACCGAAGAGCTGACCGTAAACTGAGGGTATTGCTAGCACTTTACTATGTTTTATTATGTTTGAGTTTTTAACATTCTATGTATTTTAACTTATGTGATTTTATGTACTGTATTGTTTGAATTTTACTCTGTTGTAAGCCGCCCTGAGCCGGGCTAGGCCGGGAGGGCAGGGTAAAAATGTAATAAATAAAAATAAAATAAAAATTATCAGAAAGACTTCTTCTAACTGACGAGGGACTAGTCTTTTTCAGCTTTCTCCCAAATTGGTCTGGGACTCTTGCCAGGCTCCAATTGCAATTTTATTAGGTGATTGTCATGGAATGCATGTGGTGTCAATGCAAAAGATTAACGATAGAAATGCATCATCATTTTGCTGTCGTCTCCAATAGAAATGAAGAGATAGTGATGCCAGAGGAGCAGACGGGCCTCGTAAAGGAAAACTACCTGTGGAGTGTGTTGCTGCATCGTGGGGCCACTGATGAAGGAATCTTTCTGCATGTGCCACCTGGCAGCTATGACCATGACCTCTTTGCCATGACGTGGGGACCGACTGTCGCTGCCCTCTCCTATGTTTTTGACAAAAGCCTAGATGAAACAATCATCCAGAAGGCACTCACTGGTTTCAGGTAACTCCTTTCTGCAGCATTTGGCGGGTCTCCATTTTTTAATGCAGCTTTTCTTTACTTTGATCGAAGCTTCTTTGACTAAGGAAGATGGAGACTTAGTGTTTAGCCCAGTGAAAATGCAGTCGTGGGTAAGTGTCAGGACCCACAGCTAACAATGAAGTACACACATTCAGGAACGGTTATACTTTTATCGCAAAGCTATAGATGCAGTAACACAGACACTGTTAGGAATGGCGGCGACCCATAGAACCTAATGGGATATAGGGTATTCGTATGCACTGCCCCCCGGCATGGGCCACTTAGGTCCCCTCCCGCGCGCGGGATAACTTAGGAAACCGTTAGGTGACTAAAGCTGGGAATTAGGAGTCTCTCACGGTAGAGAGGAGAGCTCCAGACAACACAACCTCCTCCTGCACATCTGTGGAGGCAAGCATTTCAGCACAGGCAGAACAGCAGGGATAGGAATGCAATAGCCAGTAGCAAGACACAGAATGAACTCCCCAACCCCCATGGCAGCATAGCTGATAGTAAGCAAGACTGGAAGTTGTATTTCTGTGCTTTCCTCCCTCCCTCCCTCCCTCCCTTCCTGGCAGATAGGTGTATTTTCTGTGTGTCTGCTTTGGACACAGCTATCCTTGTGAAACTACATCAGTGAACGACATCATTTTACTGTATTTTACTGTTTTATACTTGCGTTTTTATTGTTATAATCTTGGCACATTGTGCCCTTGTCAGCCACCCTGAGCCTTCGGGGTAGGGTGGGATATAAATCCAACGATAAATAAAAATAAATAAATAAATATAAATGTTGCTGGCTAGGCTTCTTGTTGTTAGCATCTGATGCAGATGAAGCTTTATGTAAAGTAATGTGAAGCAAGGTGACAAGTGGGGTGACTCTTCCATTGGCTGTGGTTTGTCTTTCAGGAAATGTGCCATGATTGCTGCCCATTATGGCCTGAGTGATGTTTTTGACAATCTTATAATTTCCCTCTGCAAGTTCACAGCCCTGAGCAGTGAGGTGAGTCTGCAAGGGAGGGGTGTGAAGGGGCCGCGAAGCTGGTTTCAAACGGTGGGTTAGATGCTGACGGTGGTTGTGGGTGAGGCTGGAAAGGGGAGGTCAGACTCGAAGAAAACAAGTCCCTCATCCCTCAGGACAGCCTCCCAAATTCCTTAACCATATAAAGCATCGAGACAAGCCATAAACATTTTTAAAAATATATATCCGGAGCAGGAAACCAGCCAGAGAAGCAGTGGGGGGGCCTGTGGGTGACAAAAGAATAAAGGGATTGCTAAAGGAAGGTGGGGAGATGGCATCTGGGTTCACTGTGGAAAGTGCAGGAGATGCACTCATGCCAGTCTCGCTGAGACTGAGGGGGGAAATTATCTGGGGGGGTGGGTCGGGTCATAGTGGATAGTTCAACGGAAGTATCAAGCGCAGTGTGCTGCAGTGGTGGAAAAGGCGAACTCTATGCTAGGGATTCATAGGAGAGGAACTGAGAATAAAACGGCCAATACTGGAGTGCCCCTGTATAATGAGGCCTCATTTGGAACACTGTGTGCAGGTCTGGTCACCGTATCTCAAAATGGACATGGCAGAACTGGGGAAAGTGCCGAGGAGGAGGGCAGCCAAGAGGACCGAGGGGGTTGGAGCATCTCCCCTATGAGGAGGAAAGGCTGAGGAGTCCGCTGGGGCTTTTCCATTTAGAAAAGAGATGGCTACGGGGGATACTGTAGAGGTTTATAGCATTATGCACAAGTTGGAGGGATTTGACAAAGAGAAAATTTTTCTCCCTCCTTAAATATTAGAACTCAAGGGCATCTATAGAACAGCCCCTTACATTTTCCTCTTTTCTGAAAATCCGTGGCTGTCCCACCCTGTCAGTATGATATTTTGCTGCTGGCTCAGCCCAGGAACTTGAGGGAAGAGACAAGATCACTGTCTTAACTTAAACTTCTGAAAGACACGAGAGAATTTTTAAAGTTCAAAAATAAAGTAATTTATTCAACGTAGAGGGGGAAATCGGTCAAGTGAAGTCAGGGATAAAATTACTGAGGTAAATCAATAACATGCTCTGAAGTAAATCAATATAGGCACAGACTACAGTTCATATGTTTCAAGCAATAGTCTTAGAATCTTTAAGATGAGAGGCTTTTGTTTCAGTGTTTTCTAAATTTCTTGGGTTTAACTGACTCTTCAGGTTTCAGCAGGCAGTCTCTAAAGACACCAGACAAAGGATCACTCCACTCCTCATAGCTCTCTCCCTTTTTATCTGGGTAGGGAATCTCTTGGTCTCACTAGAAGATCTATCCCTTTTTCTGGCCCAAATGGGAGTCTTCAATGATCTACCCACTCCCTCTTGTCAACCTTCCCAGTTCTCCATCCGTGGTAAACAGCCCTCAGTCAGGGCTAAACACAGGGTGCTTTCACACACACATTTAGGTTAGTTTAGTTTATTGTTACTATGATCCAAGATCAGCAGAATATCAACAATATACAATACACATTAAATTCATAAAATAGATATTCTGTACAGAAAATGTACAGTTAATAGTAACAATAAAAGTATTAGAACATGCCAGAGTGCAGAATCTTGCTACCTTAAAGGGTAGTTTTGTTAAAACAGTCAGCAACAAGAGAAGTTCTGACTGTCTGTCGGAAATAGCAGGTAGCAGGAGATGGCAGGATTGGGTGGAGGGGGAAACCTCCTTGGGTAGTGAGGGTTAGGGTTTCTTGTGGTACAGCACTGTATGCGGGTACTGTATGAGTCTAGGAGCTGATGAGGGTTACTCAAGGACAACAGAGATTATTTGGTGGCTTCAGCGTTCTTCACAGGGCGTGTGGGAAAGGTCCCCAAACTTACCATCTAAGATACAAAGACTCTGCCTGATTTTCCCCTTGTGCAGCAAGTTTAATAGCAATGTTTAATAACAGAGTAGACCTGCTTTATGCACTTGTTTAAGTGATATCATGCATGCATGCATGCTTTAAACCCTCCCCAAGGAAGACTGTAGCCACTGGAGGTAGATTGGTACTAGGGATGGAGGTGCTGCTTCAGGCACAGTGGGCCCAAGCCACTCCTTTCATTATGTGATAACCTGCAGCTTAAAAGGAAGCCTGCTGGCTAGCAGGGAGATTGCCCTGTGGCTCCAGTCTGCTGCCTAAACTGGAGCTTCCAAATTGTTTTGCAAGGTCGTTCAAATAAAGCGTGTCACTGTAGATAATCTTTGAAATCTCCAGAGCATGAATGATTGTGGCCAGGGCAGGCGAGAGGCACAGTCCACACAACATTCTCCAGTTGGTTAACAACTTAACTCCAGTCTTTCTAGTAAATAGTTGTTTGTTCCCTGACTGGTTCTTGTCTGATCTTTAAAGGGAAAAAGAGGGGCTAACCCTGACCTCTGTGTTCCTCTTCTCCTGCAGTCCATTGAGAACCTGCCCACTGTTTTTGGAAGCAACCCGAAGGCCCAGATTGCAGCAAAGACGGTGTTCCACTTGGCTCATCGCCATGGCAATATTCTGCGAGAGGGCTGGAAAAACATCATGGAGGCCTTGCTGCAGCTTTTCAGAGCCGAACTGTTGCCAAAAACCATGGTGGAGGTAAGAAACTTGGTAGCAGGAGCAGTGTGCACTCCAAGCTGAGTTAGTGTGAGCTAGCTCACAATTTTTTAGCCTCTGGCCTTTGTCTTCGCTCAGGAAGGATGGCTCCAGAATGAGCTAATTTATGCAGTAGCCAAATCGCTTGCTCACAACGTTAATGTCAGTAGCTCACAAAGCTGAATTTTTGCTCACAAGACTCCATGGCTTAGAGGGAGCATTGAGCAGGAGCCTGCCTGATTGGACCCTGCACACACTGTTTGCCATCACCGGCATTTAGCTTAGCACAGATTGGTTGCTGGGAGACCACCACACTGAGAAAGACGGTTGTGCCTTGAAAAGGTTAGGAAAGCCTGGAATACGTTAGCATAATAATTTGGAGGCTAAAGAGCTTTATGCCATCAACTCAGACATTCGATGAAACAAACCATGAATTGTCGTATCTGCAGAAAATGGAAGGCCTCCCAATTACAATTTCCTGTTAAAGAAGACAGGATTGAAGGTTCTGTCATTGTTTTCCACTATCACAGTTTCTGTTTTCTTTACAAGAAAAAAAATACAAGGCATATATGAGGTATTTGAAGGTAAATGTCTGTTACCTAAAATTAAGTAGTTGCTACTCTGTCCCCAACTCCTGCCAACCTAGCAGTTCGAAAGCAAGAAATTGCAAGTAGATAAATAGGTACCGCCTCGGTGGGAAGGTAACAGCGTTCCATGCGCCTCAGCATCTAGTCATGCCGGCCACATGGCCACAGAAATGTCTTCAGACAGCGCTGGGTCTTCGGCTTGGAAATGGAGATGAGCACCGCCCCCTAGAGTCAGATTTGACTGGCTGTCGAGCAAGGGAAACCTTTACCTTTCAATAGTTTTGTAGACTAGGAAAGGAATGAAATCAGGACCATGGAAGAAATTAAGGATGGGAATCACCGTGCTCAGATTTTAAAGTTCACATTTGTCAGTTACAAGCCAATTAGAAAAAGTTGTAATCCACTAGTAATTATTTATTTAAAACATTTATTATCCGTCTTTCTTCCTCACAGAGCTCAATATAGTTGCTTGCAATATAGATAAAATACATAGAACAGAATACATAAAAAACATGAAGACTAAAATTTTAAATCAAAATGTAGGCCTGTTAGCAAGCTTAATCAACTGTGGTTCTTCACCTCCCTCCTAAAGATCAAAAGTGGGGGGGGGGGACCTGCCTCCCTGGGGAGGTTGTTCCGTAATCGTGGGATTGCCACAGTAAAGGCCGTTTCTCAGATACTTACCAAGCAAGCGTCTTTGGTTGCTGGAGGGCCTTTCCCTGTGATCTGAATTCTCATGCAGGAACATATGAGAGAAGACATTCCTTCAAGTACCCCAGTCCCAAGCCATGTCATGTTTTAAAGGTCTAAAACAACACCTTCGATTGGGCTCAGGATGAAATCAGTAGCCAGTGTCATTGCTGTATCAGGGTCACATGCTCCAGATAGCTGGTCTTGACCAGCAGTCTAGCTGCAGCTTCTGAACACTCTTCAAGGGTAGCCCCAAGTAGAGCACATTGCAGTAGGCCAATTTTTTTTTTTGCATTCACTTTTTATTGTTGAGCATATCCGTTCAACACAATCATATGCTCATTTTCCATTTTTAAACAATCTTGAAACAAACATGCAAACAAAAGGAAAAAAAATTCATCTGAGGTTACTATTACAACAGCCAATTTTTTTTTCTCTTTTAATCCCTCTTCTTTTCTTATGCCCCTATCTTACCCGTTTATGGATCCCATCCAACTTCCCCATAACTTATTAATCCTCATAATACCACACAAAAACTACAGTTTCTACTAACTCACATAATGCTATATTCTTCTATCTTCTTCTTCTGTACCTAAAACGAAGAGTTGAAAGGGTTGCCTCCGATTATGGGCGCTGTAGAGAACCCCTCTACAACGAGAGGCCAAATAACCTCTCTCCCTATATACGGAGATCTTGGGGGGGGGGCACACTCATCGCCTCCTTGCTACACCCATTTATGGCACTGCAAACTCTAAACTTCAAGTTAAACACCTCTTCTATATTTCTATCCTTCATAAACATGCTTATCCTATAACCTAACTATCAATGCCAAAGTATGTTGTTCCCCTCACAGCTCCCCATCTTTCAATTTCATAACAGCTTCAACAAGTTTTTTCCCCGTCATCTCATTATATGCTGTGAATGTTTTATTTTTTATCGTCACAGCCAAATGTCCAAGAGCTAACCATCTGTATGGTATTTCCTTCTCTCTCAATGTTTTAGCCGTTTCACGCAAGCCTCGTCTTGCAATCAGCACCTCTGGGATGACGTCAGCATATAAAAACACACAAGTGTCCTCTAAGAGCAAACCCTTTTTCCCCCGAGCTATTTTAAACAGTTTATTCCTTGTGTTGAGCTCTTTGAATTCAATGATTATATCTTGCGGGACTCCTGCGGGGGCTCTCTTTGAAATGTTAATGACCGCAGTATCTGTAGAAGCCATTTGTTTAATTCCTGCTTTAAGTTTCCCGTTGCACAAAAGTTGGGGGAAACTCCCCGTAGCTTCGCTTTTCTTTCCCTTAGTCTCGTCTCCTGGAGGATAATCCTGTTTTGGGCCCAATTTTCAAACATCCGTATCTCTGATAAATCATCCAAAACTTTCTTAGCTGCCTGAAGTGCAGAGTCTGCCTTCTGGTCAGTTAGTTTTACAGCTGAAGCCATTTCGTCTAGTTTCTGATTTATTGGGTCGATAGCACTCTTGAGCTGGGCGAATTCCTTTCTTAATAGTCCTACATCAGAAGACAAAGTCTTTATCACGCTTTTAATCTCCTCTTTTATTTCTTTTAACGCCTGTGCAATTGTATCTCCTCCAGCTGCGGCCATTTCTTCTGGCAAGGAAAAATCACGCTCTGACTCAGAGTTTGTTTCTTCCGTCGTTAGTAGTTTAAGAGGTGACTTTTTAACTCCTCTTTTGCCTCGGGCTTTTCCCTTAGCTGGCATTGATAATTTTTTATAAAGTTACCTTGTTTTTAAAGAGTAAACGTTGTTTATCTGTTGGGGGTTGCAGGAGAGCGAGCAAGCTGCAGCTGACCAGAAGGACTGCTGCCACGCCCCCCGTGAAATCCATGTGTTAATCACCGCAGTAGGCCAATTTAGAGGTAACTAAGGCTAGATCTGATAGACCAAGGCCGTAGCTGGGCAAAAGCACTAGTCCAGACTGTCACAGGCCCCTGGTTTCCTATGGTGACTGCTGTGTCAAGCAGCACACCCAAGCTGTGTGAACCTGGCTTTTCAAGGGGAGTATAACCCCCACCCAAGACAAGAGAGATCTGAAGCCCCTGGCCTGCCTTTTTACTAATCCAGAGAACCTCTTTCTTGTCAGGATTAAATTCCAGCCAGTTCACCCTCCTCCAGGGACTCCACGCACCATTTCAGAACATCACTGACAGTACAAAACCCCAAGTTCAGTCTCCAGGTCCTCTGTAAAAAACAAATCCCTGTTCGCATGGCTGGGAAAAATTACTCTTCCTCTCTTCCTGAGAGCTGCTACCAGTCAGATGAGACAATTCTGGTGGCCTTGTTTGATTCAGGGTCGCTAGTAATTTTCTGTTATCAGCTGCTGTAGCATTAGCATCAAATAGCTGTAAAGCTGTCTTTAAATTTCTCAGTTGCCAAAAGTGAATGCTAGAGGTGTAACAAAAAGAACATGGGTCGCGTGTGCATGTTAATGAAAGTTACACATAGGTTTTTTTAAAGTATTTTTTTCCATTTATTAATCGCTTTCCCCAGTGGGCTCAAAGCGATGTACAGTTACTCAATATAGAAAGGGACTAACAATGTTTGTAGGGGATAGGGAAGACAACATATGGCTGCGGTCACACGCAACATTAGCCACGCAAGAGATACGGAAGACAAGCGGAGTTTCCGGTCGCGATCTCACCAGCACATCTGGGAAGCGTAGCGCTTCCGTGGCACAACTGAGGCTTCCTGCCGAAACAGCGCAGCAAAAAACTAGTACCTTGGAGGTACTAGTTTCCAGAAACTGCGGGGCAAGGGCAAGCGTCTGATCGCGTTTCCGGTGGTATCCGGCGCCCGCCCATGTCCCCTTGCGGAAAAGGGTTTTTTTTTTCCCACGTCTCCGTGGATACGCACACGCACCCAACGGAGCATGCGCATTCACAGTGTACACAAAAAAAGAAAACCAGTTCGCCGCGCCGCGCGCTTCTTCATTGCGCGCAGGCGTGTGTTGTGATCGGCACCTCTCCCTTGCCATGGAACCTCCACAGTACCTCCACAGAACCTCCACAGTAGGTCTGATCGCTTTACTGCATGTTAGTTTGCCCCGGGGCAAACAGCCACACTTCTCCTCTGCAGTTTCCTGCCCGTGTGACAGGGGCCTATATTCATTTAATTGCACACGCCGTCACTGCCCAGTGTAGACGTCTTCTGGCTTGGCTCCGTCGTTTTCCGCACGGCTGCTTGTTGACCAGGCTTCAGGACCCATATGTCAATCGCCACACTGCCACCGCCTGGCCGGAACATTCACTGCAGGGATTCTTTGTAGCCGAGAAGTTTTTTTTGCCTTTTTCAAACCTCGACCAGAACGTCCGACCGTCAGCTAACACCCTCCCACAAGGGAGTTTGGTGTGCCCACCCTCTCTAAGGAGTGGTTCCCATTTTATCTACTCGCCGAAGCTTTCAAATCGCTGTTCTTGATCACAGACAGAGCATTTAATAATCTGCTCTAGAATTTTTCCAGGTACTGGTGTCAAACTGACAGACCTGTAATTTCCTGAGTCCATCTTTTTTCCCTTGAAAATTGGGACAACATTCGCTCTTCTCCAGTCTTCCGGCACAACACCAGTACTCCAGGACATCTCAAAGATTAGAGCCAGAGGCTCTGAAATATCATCTGCAATTTCTTTTAGCACCCTGGGATGCAAGCCATCCAGCCCTGGAGATTTGAAAGTATTTAAGGCAGCTAGATGCTCTCTAACCATTTCCTTACTTACTCTGGACTGGCAGTTCCTCCTTCCTTCATATGCTCTGCAGTCTTCAGTTTGCATACAGCTCACCTTACGGTTAAAGACCGACACAAAGTGAGATCTGGGTAATTCTGCTTTGTCTTCATCCCTTGTTAAGGCTTGACTGTCCTCCCCTAGCAATGAGCTTACCCCATCCCTGTTCTTTTTGCTCCGAACATAAGCATAGAAACTTTTCTTGTTATTTTTAGCTTCCCTCAGAAGCCTCATCTCCATCTGCGCTTTAGCCTTTCTGACACCATCCCTACAGATTCGAGCCTGTTTCTTGTACTCACCCTCAGTAATTTGACCCTCCTTCCATTTCCTGTACATATCCCTTTTTAGTCTCAGCTCTTCAGAGAGTTCCTTGTTCAGCCATTACGAACATTCCATTCATAGAACAGAAGCAGCATTGCTTTCTGATGGGTGATCTGTTAGCCTAAAGTGGACCACAGCAGGTTATGCTAGTTAGGAATGCTGCAGTTTTCTGTGGTTGATTTTGAGTGGAAGAAGGAAGCTATGAACCCAGCAACCCTTATAAGCGATAAGGTTATACCCACTCTACATTGGTTTGATTCACAGGTTGAAGATTTTGTGGATCCCAATGGCAAGATCTCTCTGCAGCGTGAGGAGACACCTTCCAGCCGGTGGGTAGCCCAGCCAGTGTGGCCAACTAGCAGGCAAATGTGTCCAAGTGTTGCTGAGTACTGTTTCGTCATTCACTAACACATGACATGTCCTTCTTTTGTAGTGGTGAGTCCACGGTGTTAAGTTTTGTTAGCTGGCTGACACTCAGTGGCACGGAACCATCTGGCGTGAGAGGGCCATCTACGGAGAGCCAGGAGGCAAAGCGAATGGCCCTCGAGTGCATAAAGGTAATGGATGGCCCATACCCAGGAACGAGGGCAGTGGGGTCTGTCTGCCTGCCCAGGGAGCTAGATATCATTATAACTCTGCATGCAACAGGATCTGGGACGGAAAGAGTTAAGAGGATTCGCTCACTCAGGTACATTTGGCCGTCCCGTCGCGTCCCCTGTCCCTCTCTTTGGTTAGATGTTGAGTCTCTTTGGCTGTTGCTTGCCTTCTGTTTCATCTTATATGGGACCTTTCTTCTTCTCTCTCTTACCTGGGCTTGGAGATGTAGCAAGTGAAACTTTTTGAAGTTAATCTGTTCACAGTGTTAAATGTACTTACAGCAATATTTCCTGTAAGATGTACTTCTATTTTTGTAAGTAAAATTTCTTTCTCTTGTTACCATTGAAGTCAGATCATCTTTGTAGTTTGTTTGAACAGCCATTTTCCCCCTTAACCGGGAAACATGGAGGATCAGGGATGCTGCGTAAGGCTTCTGTGCTTCCAAAACAATGATGTTCTGTTTTGTTTTACATTTGACCCAATAGAACTAGGGCAGTGGGATCTGTCTGTCTACCCGCCAGCTAGACAGCAGAAAAGAAAGCTAGAACCATACCTGTGTGCAGAATGTGTTGGGTTGGAAAACCAGGAGCTTGTACGTGTGTGATGTACACAAAAACACAGATCTTGTTTGAGAAGAAGATAAATCATCAGCAATATTTAGAGAACATTAAGTGAAACTGGATTTCACAATCAGTTTCGTTCCACACTTGCATGTGTGTCCTGTAAACTTTCCAAGGCAGCATTTATTGTGCTTTGCTCTCCCTCAAGAGTTTTATTTTGTCTTCATCCCAACTATGTGAGGCAGTTAAATGAAGAGAGAGCAACTTGTCCAAGGCTGACACTTGGTGAACTCCACGGCTGAGCAAAAGAAATAAAAAATGAATCCTGCTTTCCAGACTTTTAACCCTCTAGGTTCTCTCCATGGAGGTGGAGAAAATGTCAGTTGCCCCTGAGTGGAGGAGATGCTCCTTCCACTGTCCAAACAGGACTGCTCACGCTGCTTCCCATCCGCAGTGGAGGAGTGAGGCCCGCGGGAGCCACCCTGGCACTTCAGCAGGCTGCCCCCCCCCCCCGGGGGGGGGGGGGGGTTTGCTCTGAGGGGGGGGAGCCTCTCTCTCTCTCTCTCTCTCTCTCTCTCTCTCCCCCCCCCCTTGATGAGCCGTGTGCCCTTTCCTGTCTGTCTGACACAGCCGCCCCTGTCCATAATCATGAAAACAGGGGGACACTGAGGTGGGGCCATTTGCACCTCCTGACACCACCTTTTTGAAAGCTTCCCCTCAGACTGGGGAAGAAGGAGTTCACATTAGACTTTCTCTTGGCCTCTACATGCAGGAGAAAGAGGTGGTCACACACACACCCCGTAGTCTGAAGTGGCACACACCATTTTATCCTCCCAGCCCTCGAGCACCTTGTTTGGTGGCATGGGCAGATGAAGCCCTTCCCATTGGTAATGATGGGCAGATAGCAAGGACCTCCAAAATGGGGGGGGGGGAGAGTCAGGCTCTGGGTTTTAGATTCCCCACACACACACACCCAAAAATTCAAAATATATTTATTTATTTATTTTAATGTATAATCTGCCCTCCTTGCCAAGGTGGGCTCAGGGCGGCTTACAAGAAGAAGAAGAAGAAGAGATTGGATGTATACCCCATGGCCCTTCACTACCCAAGGGAGTCTCAGAGGGGCTTACAAACTCCTTTCCCTTCCCCTCCCCACAACAGACACCCCCTGTGAGGTCGGTGGGGCTGAGAGAGCTCTTTCGAGGACTGCTCTTGAGAGAAGAAGAAGAGATTGGATGTATACCCCATGGCCCTTCACTACCCAAAGGTGTCTCAGAGGGGCTTACAGACTCCTTTCCCTCCCCCTCCCCACAACAGACACCCTGTGAGGTCGGTGGGGGCTGAGAGAGCTCTGACAGAAATGGCTCTTTTTCAATAATAGCTCTGACCAGAACTACGGCTTGCCCAAGGTCATCCAGCCAGGTGCGAGTGGAGGTGTGGGGAATCAAACCCGGTTCTCCCAGATTAGAGTCCGCTCACTTAAACACTACATTAAACTGGCTCTCATAACAATCATAAATACAATGAATACAGTTAAAACCTATCGTTAGCATAAATTACTTAAAATAACAATCCTTTAAAATATAACACATAAAACGATGGAACATACTTATGCAGTAGGAGCATTAGATCTTATAACATAATTTAGGGTTAGGGTTAGGTGCCAGTGCTTTCACACCAGCCCCGTCCTAATTTACTATGCAGTGAGGACAGGTTGGGAACCACGATGGTAACACCCAGGTTACAGACCGGGGTGCCAGGGCACAGGGTCACTCCTCGGTGTGTAGTGCAGCTCCTTAGTCGAAAGCCTGGTGGAAGAGCTCCATCTTGCAGGCCCCACGGAACTGCGGAAGATCCCGCAGGGCTCTGGTCTGTTCCAGGAGCTCATTCCACCCAGGCTGGAGCCACCACGAAGAAGGCCCTGGCCCCGATTAGTGAAAGACTTATCTGGGGCCCAATCAAAATCTCTGCTGGTCCATGTCAGGACTCCTAAGAGGCCTGCCAGACTTGGTGTCAGCTAGCTGCCATTGTATCTGGTGTTACCTGCTTAACACGTCTTGTGCTCTTCCCCCCCCCCCCTTGGTTCCTGTAGCTTCATTTTGTTTCTCTGTACTTTGCGGAACTGGCCAAGGTCATGCAGCTGGTGGTGCGAGTCGGTGCTTCGCTCAGCTTGTTATGGGTATCTACCCTGTGAACTGAACCTGTGTTGATTGTACTGAACTGTTACGTTCCCATGAAATGGGCGCACGTTTACAAGTTCTATTCCCACCAGCGGGAACTGGGCTCATTGGCCCCAACCTGGTTCAAATCCCTTTATTATGTTATACCTGTGTATTGGTAGTCATTCCTAACAATGTCCTTGTTCCTGCTTGAACCATCGCTTTGAAATAAACCTTGCTTTGAATCAAACGTGGAGTTATTTCGAATGCCTGGGGATCCAACATTTTGTTAGGAATCCACTTTTCTCTATCATCCCAATTCTGACGGCTGTCATGAGTGGGAAGTAGGAGAAACCAGCAACCACGGAGGCAACTCCGGTTACGTCCGCTCCTTTGGTCACGACGGCCACTGAAACGCCGGTGACTACATTGGGACTAACAGGGGCCGTCGGGGGAGCGATCCCGCAAGGGGGATACCTTCCATGGCCGCCGCCTACCCCGTCGAAATGGAGATGCGGAGCAGTGGGACGACTGGTCTCTGTATGACTCGAAAGGGACTAAAGAGATCTTTTCTCACAGAGGCAGTGCTCTCCGAGAAAGCCTGTTTGACAGGGGGATGTACCCGGGAACGGTCACCGGACGTACGGAGAGAGCATCTCAGCGGGAAGACGAGATGTGGGCAGCAGAGAGAGAAATTCGGAGAGGGGAAAGAGACTCGGCTGAAAGCAGCTATGACCCCCGAGACGACCGAATAGAAGACCTCGAGAAGTCGGTACAACAACTCATGCGAACGGTGGGCGATGTTTTCGATGCACTACCGCAAATGATGGATATGCGTATTGCCAACTTGGTGGTGACTCATGGATTACAAGCGCAGGCCCCAATCCCGCAGCAACAACCCCAAGTGCCACCACAACCGGCGCTTCCAGGACTGCTGCCACCTATCCCAGGTCAAGTCCGCCACCGGGTCTGCCACCCCCTTTGATCCCTGCGCAACCGGGACCTCCGGTAGCACCAGCTCTTCCCCCTCCAGGAGGACCTGGGGCACCAGGAATCCCACAAGCGGGACCGAGGGCGAGACCGAAGGATTTACTGGATGCCACGTTTGATGGGAACCCAGAAGAACTTGCTTTCTTTACGGTGAGGGTACAAAAGCTCGTGACCCAACATGGACACTTTTTCCTCGATGACAGCGGCCGGATCGATGTAATTGCCTCCCGACTGAAAGGAGCAGCTGCGACCTGGTATGTAGGACTACATACTAACCGGGGCCCTGAACTGTTTAACTTGAGGGCTTTCATGTGGGCGCTGAGAACCCGCTTTGAAGACGTAAATGCAGAAAACCGGGGAAAAGCCTTTTTGCGCACGTTCAAGCAAGGTCGACGTTTGGTGAGAGACTATACTGCAGAGTTCCGAAATCAAGCCGCGAAGTTACGCGATTGGCCTGACAAAGTTTTGGTGGAAATGTACAGAGTGGGTCTGAATGCGGAGATCAGAGAGACCGTGTTACGTTCGGTTGACCCTAATTCCTTGATGGCGTAGGCTCAAGAAGCGGAAAATGCGGAGAGCTGCCTTCAAACCATCAGGCTTGACATGGCAGCCAACGGAGGGAGAGGGACCCCACCCCCTCCCCCGAAGCCGAAACCAGCGCGCTTGTCGGACGCGGCCAGAGACCTGAGGATGAAGATGGGACTGTACCTGAAATGCGGGGAAAGGGGCCATTTCGCTGCGGACTGCGGAACCGGTCAAGGGAAGGACAAGCCTACGCTGCCGACGCCGAAAGGGAATCCAACTACCCAACCGAAAAGAGGGAGCGCCAAACCCAAATTCTCCACAGCTTTGCAAGCCGCGACGGAGGAACCCCTGGAAGACTCGGGGGAATCCGATCCTGAACTGCGGAAAACGGGAACGTCCTGCTGTGAAGAGCGCACAGCAGCAGGACCTTTTGAGTCAGGAGGCGCCTATTGTGGTGAGAGAACCCCCCTCTTTATTTTTTGTGACTGTCTCGCTGTTAAATCCGATTCTGGGAACACATGTGCGTGTAAAAGCACTGATTGACTCGGGGTGTGGGAGAGACTTGATTAGCCCCAAGGTGGTGGCTAGTTTGGAAGCGGGCATAAAGAGACTCAAGTCCCCGATTATTTTCACCCAGATGGATGGGGCACCCATGGATCCTTGTGTTCATGAGACCATGCCACTGAGGGTGGGTGCGGGAGAACATTGGGAAGAAAGAACTTTTGTGGTAACTCCCAAATCGCAGTTTGCTCTGGTACTCGGAGCCCCATGGTTGTATTCACATGATCCCTATGTACTATGGGAGGAGGGCAGGATTGACTTTGTTTCACCTAAATGCAACAAGCACCGTTGGGAAGAAACGTGGGGGCCCCCGCCCTCGCTTGAGTTCCCTTGCGCTACCTTGACGGCCGAGGAAATGGCGTCCCTTCCCCCGGAGTATCATGACTTGGCACAGGTCTTTGGCGAAGAGGAGGTGGACGAACTGCCCCCCCACCGCAAATCCGATTGCGGCATTGAACTGTTGCCGGGCTGCAAACTCCCAAGGGGGAAGATTTACGCCATGGGGCCCGCGGAGAAATTGGAACTACGGAAGTTCCTTGACAAAAATCTCGCCCATGGTTTTATCCGCCCTGCCTCCTCTCCTTTTGCCGCACCTGTGCTTTTCAGGAAAAAGAAGGATGGGGGGCTCCGTTTATGCACAGATTACCGGGGTTTGAACGCGATTTCCACTACCAATGCGTACCCCCTTTCCTTGATTAAAGACTTGGTTGCGGAAGCCACCAAAGGGAAGATCTTCTCTAAACTTGATTTGCGTGATGCCTACTTCCGAGTGCGGATCAGAGAGGGCGATGAGGGGAAGACTGCGTTCAATACCCCGCTGGGACAATTCGAGTACTTAGTGATGCCCTTCGGGCTTCAAGGGGCTCCTGGGGTCTTCATGAACTTGATTAATGAGGTCTTACATGAGTATTTGTTTAAGGGTGTGCTTATTTACTTGGATGACATTTTACTGTATTCACAAGACCTCCCCTCACATATCAAATTGGTTCATAAAGTTCTCAAGACGTTGCATAAGCACAAGCTGTTTGCTAAACTTTCCAAGTGTGAGTTTCACCAATCACGTATTGACTTTTTAGGCTACCGAATCTCGGGAGGGGGGTTGGAAATGGATCCGGGGAAAATCAAAGATGTGGTCGAGTGGGAACCCCCCCAAACCAGAAGGCAACTCCAAGCGTTCTTAGGATTTTCCAATTTTTATAGATTTTTTATTAAAGGATTCGCCCAAATAGCCCTCCCCCTCACTGACTTGTTAAAAACTAAAGGGAAGGGATTTGACGCAACGAAGCCGGGGGCTCCGCTGAAATGGACTCCTGAATGTGAGGCGGCGTTTAACAAATTGAAATGCATGTTCACCTCTGGACCGATCTTGGCCCACCCCGATGAATCGAAACAATTCATTGTCCAAACCGATGCGTCGGATGTCGCTATGGGGGCGGCTATTCTCCAGAAGGGGGACGATGGGCATTTGCATCCGCTAGCTTTTGTGTCTAAAAATTTTTCTGATGCTGAACGTCACTGGAGTGTGTGGGAGAAGGAAGCATCGGCTATTCGCCTTGCCCTTTCCACGTGGCGTCATTGGCTGGAGGGGGCCAGGGTCCCGTTCGAGGTATGGACTGATCATAAAAACCTTGAGACCCTGAAGTCCCCCCGTTCTCTCAACGCCAAGCAATTGAGGTGGGCGGATTTTTTCTCCAAGTTCCAGTTCACTTTGCATCATTTCCCCGGGTCTTCTAACTCGCTGGCTGATGCCCTGTCCCGCCTCCCGCACCATGAGAGCCAACATGAGGTCATCTGACTCGATCTTCACTCCCGCCCAGTTGGGGGGGGGCTGTCGTAACGAGAACGCAAGCACGCAAACTTCCCACGCCAGCCTCGTCTCCTGTTTCTCCTCCTCCGGCCCCTCTGTCATCGGATTGGGGGGGGGCGCTACCGTGCTGAATTCTCTAAGGAGGATGAGGAGGTCCTTGCCACATTACATGGCTATGTCCGCAGCCCAGAAGGGTTGGTTTATTCTGACAATAAACTTTATGTGCCTATTTCTCTCCGCAGGGAGGTTCTGCAACTCGCTCACGGATCTAAGTTGGCAGGACATTGGGGTTTCGTTAAATCCCTCCAACTGCTGCGGCGGCAGTTTTGGTGGCCTCACATGCGCAAAGATCTTCTGGATTTTGTTCGCACCTGTCAAACTTGCGCATTGTCTAAACCGAGGGGGGGAAAGTCCCCTGGTCTTCTGCAACCCCTCCCCACTCCTTCCAGGCCTTGGGAGGTGATCTCGATGGACTTTATCACTGACCTTCCCCCTAGCAAGGGGAAAACTGTAATTTGGGTGATGGTGGATTTGTTTTCTAAGCAAAGTCATTTTGTTCCCCTTCCTTCCCTCCCAACGGCTCAAAAGCTGGCTAAGTTATTTCTCTACCACGTGGTGCGCCTCCATCTTTTGCCAGCTAAGGTGATATCCGACCATGGCACACAATTTGTTTCTAAATTTTGGAAGGAATTAATGAAAATTATGGGGGTGGAACAGGGTTTGAGCAGCGCTTACCACCCAGAGACCGACGGCCAGACCGAAAGGGTTAATCAGACTCTTGAACAATATTTACGCTGTTTTACCAATTATCAGCAGGATGACTGGTGTGACTTGCTACCATTGGCAGAATATTGTTACAACAACACGTTACACAATTCCATTAACATGTCTCCTTTCAAGGCTGCTCTGGGATATAACAGCACCCCTTTACCATTCCTGGGGGGGGGGTGCTCCTCTACAGCCTATGGATGCAGGCTTGTGGTGTAAATCTTTACAGGATGCTTGGCCATTGTTGTGTAGTACTTTAAATGCTGCCAAGCTGGCATACAAACTTCAGGCTGATCGAGGAAGGGTGGAGGGATGGGACCTCAAGCCTGGTGATTTTGTCTATGTATCTACCAAGAATATCAAACTTTTGCGTCCTTGCAGGAAACTTAGCTGGAAATTCATTGGTCCCTTCAGGGTGCGTCGAATCATAAATGATGTTGCTGTAGATGTTGAACTGCCTAAAAATTTGAAGTCTCTGCATTCTGTATTTCACATGAGTCTTTTGAAGAAGGACACAGGCCAAGGCAAATAGAGGCCTGCACGTGACCCCCCTCCTCCTATCATGCTCGATGGGGAGGAGCATTTTGAAATAGCTGACATCTTGGATTCCAGAATTAAACGTGGTAAATTGTGGTATCTCATCCGGTGGGTGGACTTCGGACCCCAGCACCAAGAATGGGTGGAAGAAGGGGATATTCGGGCCCCTTACATGCTCAGAGAGTTTCACAAAAAGTTCCCGGGCAAACCGGGAGGTCTCCCGCCGAATCCGGGAGGGGGTGGTTAATGTGTATTTTTGAGGGGGCAGTATGTCAGCTTGCTGCCATTGTATCTGGTGTTACCTGCTTAACACGTCTTGTGCTCTCCCCCCCCCCTTGGTTCCTGTAGCTTCATTTTGTTTCTCTGTACTTTGCGGAACTGGCCAAGGTCATGCAGCTGGTGGTGGGAGTCGGTGCTTCGCTCAGCTTGTTATGGGTATCTACCCTGTGAACTGAACCTGTGTTGATTGTACTGAACTGTTACGTTCCCATGAAATGGGCGCGCGTTTACAAGTTCTATTCCCGCCAGCGGGAACTGGGCTCATTGGCCCTAACCTGGTTCAAATCCCTTTATTATGTTATACCTGTGTATTGGTAGTCATTCCTAACAATGTCCTTGTTCCTGCTTGAACCATCGCTTTGAAATAAACCTTGCTTTGACTCAAACGTGGAGTTATTTCGAATGCCTGGGGATCCAACACTTGGCAGTTGTGACATCTCAGGACTGAACTGGGATCCTGTTGACCATTTATGGGAGATGATGTTAAGAAAATGAGTACAGTCTTGTTGAGCTCCATTTTGATACCATACATCTCTTTGAGAATTCTTCCAGAACTCTAAGGTTCTTCATTTGATGGTGGAGGGAGGGAAGTGCTGGGATTCAAGTCTTACCTAGAAGTAAATCCCCCAAATCAGTATTGCATGGAAACTCTCTGTGGGAGAATACATTTGGGACCTTCTCAAAGATTCTTTCATTTCCTCAAGCTTTATAGGCTCATGGACGGCCCCCCGGCACCTTTCTCCTGATGCTCATCCTTCCTAACTTTCTCTCTTACAGCAATGTGACCCAGAGAAGCTGATCACTGAAAGCAAGTTTCTGCAGCTGGAGTCCCTCCAGGAGCTAATGAAGGTAGGGGTGTGTGTGTGAGAGAGGTGTGTGTGTGAGAGAGAGAGAGAAAGAGAGAGAGAGAGGTTGGCAAGCTCTTTCAGCCTTTGTGGACTGTATGGAATGACGTGTGCTAGGTGACATGAACAAGGAGTCCTGTCCTATGAACCCTTGGGATACACTGCATGCTGTGTTGGTATGAATCTGCCACAGAAGACTTGGCCCCTGGGGTAGCTCTGGAGGTGATGGAGAGCCCGCAGGATTTTCTCTTGGCTAAACCTCACCACTGACTCATTCAGAGTGCTAGAGCACCTTACAACAGAGGACCCCAAAATTGTGCCCGTGGGTGCCCGACAAGTCTTTTTAGGAAGTGGGTGTGGCTAGGTGGGGCTTTTGCCCTGCAAAGATTTTGATTGGCCATTGGAGATTTGAAAGCTTTTGATAAAGATCTTCATCAAAGGCTCCTAACTAAGCTCAACAGTCATGGGATAAAAGGACAAGTCCTCTTGTAGATCAAAAACTGGGTTATTCCTAATTCATAGGAAACAGAGAGTGAGTATAAATGGGCAATTTTCTCAGTGGAAGGTGGTAAGCAGTGGGGCACCGCAGGGATCAGTACTGGGTCTGATGCTTTTTAATTTGTTCATTAATGATTTGGAGGTGGGAGTAAGCAGTGAAGTGGCTAAACTTGCTGATGACATGAAATTGTTCAGGGTGGATTGAACCAGGGAGGATTGTGAGGCCCTCCAAAGGGATCTGTCGGGGATGGGCGAGTGGGCGTCAGCGTGCCAAATGGGGTTCAGTGTGGCCAAGTGCAAAGTGATGCAAAGTGGGGCCAAAAATCCTAACTATAAATACACATAGACGGGTTCTGAAATGGCAGAGACTGACCAAGAGAGAGATCTTGGAGTCGTAGTAGATAATTCACTGAAAATGTCGAGACAGTGTGTGACTGCAATTAAAAAAGCCAACACTATGCTGGGGATTATTAGAAAGGGAACTGAAGCCAGTATCATAATGCCCCTGTATACATCGATGGTGCAACCTCATTTGGAATATTGTGTGCAATTCTGGTCACCACACCTCAGAACAAGGGTATTATAGCATTGGGAAAAGTGCAGAAAAGGGCAACTAGGATGATAAAAGGGTTGGAACACTTTCCCTATGAAGAAAAGCTAAAGCACTTGGGGCTCTTTAGCTTGGAGAAATGATGACTGAGGGGTGACATGATTGAGGTTTATAAGATTATGCACGGGAAAGAGCAGGTAGAGAAAGAAGTACTTTTCTCCTTTTCTCACAATACAAGAACTTGTGGGCACTCGTGGGCACTGAATGAAATTGCTGAGCAGTCAGGTTAGAACAGATAAAAGGAAGTACTTCTTCACCCAAAGAGTGATTAAAACATGGAATTCACTACCACAGGAGGTGGTGGTGGCAGCTACAAGCATGGACGGCTTCAAGCGGGAATTAGATAAACATATGGAACAGAGATCCATGCTCTGTATTCTTGGTGTGTGTGGGGTCAACAGTGGGAGGGCTCCTGGTGTCCTGGCCCCACTGCTGGACCTCCTGATGGCACCTGGTATTTTTGGCTACTGTGTGACTGAGTGTTCAACTGGATGGGCCGTTGGCCTGATCCAACATTGGCTTCTCTTATGTTCTTATGATTGGCTGTCCTGCTTTTTAAAAGCATTGTTTTGGTATTAGCTGCCACCATAGCGCAAGGATCTTCTTCACTGTGTGACTGAAGAGAAGCTATGGCCCTCCTGCAACAGCCATTTTGTGGCTGTGCCCACCATGCTAAAAAAGGTTGGAGACCCCCTGCCTCACCACAATCCTCTTAGACAAGGAACAAATTTACTGCAAGGGAAGCTGAAGCTAATTGGGGTATGATGAGCATGGTGTGAAGAACCTAAAGCACAGATTGTCTGTGGAATTAAGAGTGTGTGTGTGTTTTTTAAAAAAGACAAAAAAACAAGTATTTTATAGAATGGCCCAAAAAATCAAAATAATAAAATGTAGACATTGGCAGAAAACTGGCTTGGGTTACAGACAAGTCTTCATACAATTAGTTTCCCAAATGGAGTCAAGACACGTTTCTTAGCCCAGGCAAAGGAGCAGGAAATCCATCCCAGCTAGCAAAGTATCTTCTGGAAGCTGAGTGAGGAAAAGCTGCAGGTGGTAGAACCGACAGTGGAAACAAAGCATGAAGCACAACCTCGGCATGTGTGTGGATTCAGGGGCTGTGGAGTCACTGCTGACTTAGGGCAACCCTGTGAGTTCATGACTGCCCAGATGTCCTCCCTTTAGCAGCTCTGCTCATGTCTTGCAAGCGGAGGGTTGTGTATCTGACCTGGGGGTCAGACCTGGGGGGTCCTGGCTTCCAGCACACTTTGGATTGTCTCATCATAGGGCTTTGAGGGTATGAGATTATCAGGAGTGGTTTGTCATGGCTGCCTTCCGTGTGGCACTAACTAACCAGGGCTAGCTGAAGAGGCACTGTCATAGATCCTCCACCATTGCCACCTTCCGCTACTGCTGCTTACCACCAGCTTTCAAAGACTCCTCCCCTCCCATCACCATTGGAACTGTCTGTTTGCTTCTGCTGATGTGGCTGTTGATTCCCAAAGGGGATGGGTGCCTCTTAGTCTGGGGTCTCAGCTGTGACTAGTTCTACCTTGAGTGACCCTGTTGGAGTTCAGCTTCTTTTGAAGTAATCCATTTTTCCTTTTTTAAAAGCCCCCCCCCCCTCTGGTCAGGGAGAAGGCAGGAAGGGGGGGGGGAGTTAGAGCTTTCCAGACTTGCCTCAGCCCACCTTCATGCAAATGCTAATAGGTCTAGCTAGAGAGATGGGCCAGTCCCCCCTTCCAAGCAGAGAACACAGATTTGGAGGAATTAAATACTAGAGAGACTTCAGGAAGGAACATTCTGGAGGCTTCAGGAAAAGCTTCTTTTGCAACCCAGCCAGATTTGGTCAGTGGGTGGAGAAACAGATATGATAAAAACTCCTTGCAGCAAGAGGAAGCTCTCTTTAGTGCTGGGTCCATCAAAGCAGACAAAACTCTTAACTGAGTTCTGGAGGAGGCAGCCGTCGGCCATGTGCTTGCCTGTGAAGCAGGAAGAAAACTTCAGGGTAAAGGAGAATCTGTAGCGATCCATAAGATCCTAAGTTAAGGAGCCTGTCCTATATTAATAGCATCTGATAGGGCACGTATAGAGAGACAGAGAGAGAGAGGGATTGCGCTTTACCCATTTCTTTTTAATCCCTTGCTCAGTCTGGTGCTGTGCTAAAAGCATGCTTGTGAAGATTTTGTTTTTAATAAATACTTTATAACTTTTTATGCTGGCAGCGTTTCTCCGTACCACATAAACCTCCACCATCTTGGATACACTATTTTAAAAGGGACGCTAGGGGGAAGGCAGTCAGTTGGCAAGCGGCTATTTATTTTATTTTATTTATTTTATTGGATTTGTATCCTGCCCTCCCTACATAGCAGGCTCAGGGAAGGTTAGTTGCTCACCAAGAAGGGATTTTTAGAAATTCGACCCCTAAGGGGGTCAGAAGGAGTAAAATGTGCTCCCCCCATTGATTCCTATGTGGCTGCCAGGCTGCTGCCTCCTCGCACCCCCCCATTCGGATTGGTCAGCTGCAGAGCTCAGTGTTCTGAGGTAAAAAAAAGCCAACCGTTACAGGAGTCTGCAGACAGCTAATGACAGTTGAGGAAATCAGGAATGGCCATCAACCACCTGTGAGGTGCAGTAATCCTGCTGGCCCAGCCTCTCTGATGGCTTCCAACACCCCCCCCCCCCCCACTTCCTACACCTAACAGGCGGTTGTCTGTCAGGTGCAGCAGGGTGCTTAAAGCCATGAGGGAGCCCGCCCCAGCAGTAATGCCTTAGTGATCCTGCCAGCCCCGCCTCCACAGTGGCTTCTA